CTCGGAATGCGGAATGTGGCGTTGTGGCTCGTGGGGGGATTGGACATCGACGCCACAATCCACGAGCTAATCATGCGGTAGGCATCATTTGGTTGGCGTGCGTACGTGAAGGCATGCCAGCTATGTACAGAGGTGGCCTGTGTAGCTGTGTACCGGGTCAAAGGTTATCTCGCCGAGTGTTGATGCCTAATCTCCCAGCGAGCCACATGCCTCGCTCAGTTAGCAATAGCGCGTTAGGTAGATGCCTTTTGTTTGAATTACAGGCGCGCAATGGGGTGGATTGATGGCCAGAGAATGGAGAATCGTGTCGTACGTTTTAGGCTGTATCTACGGATTGCGGGTGTCTACGAGGAAACGATTTCGTACGATGATGGGCGAATGTACTGTGTCCGATTTGAGCTCAAGTTGGATGAGTTACGTGTAGTAAATCGTAGGTATTATAAGGCTAGTAAATGACGAATTTCCCTTGTTTATTGATGTCACACTCCTCCCTATTATCTACTCCTGATATTATCCATATATAACATATAAGCAAACCTATAACATAGTTCATACAGGAGGACTGAAATTTTTTCCAAGGACTTTTCAAGGACTTTTTATCGGAAATTCAAGGACATTTTATCGGAAATTCAAGGACATTTTATCGGAAATTCAAGGACATTTTATCAGACATTTTATCGGAATTCATACACAGAACAAAAACTACCTGGATTAATTTAATAACCCCATTCTTAATCACTGCATGTCACCTCTAAAACTTACCTGGATCACATTAATAAACCCTTCTAAACACTGTCACTTCTACAACATGCCTTGATTTACTGACTGATTTTACTGACTTACTGTAATTTGTGATCATCATTTAACTGTCTATCGTGTCGATAGCTTTTTAAGCTCATTTAACTCAATTTTTATTGACGTTTGCACATTATTGATGGTACAAAATTTCTTTTTATTACACTTGCAGGCAAGGATTCTTTCTAAAAATTCAAGGACATTTTCATGAAATTCAAGCACTTTTCAAGCACAAAATCAACATTTACTAAATTCAAGTACTTTTCAAGGACACCCCTCAAATTCAAGGACTTTTCAAGGACTGTGCGAACCATGTATAAAAGAGATGATGACAAATTTAAAGAGCTTTTCTTACCCAAATTGCCAGATTCACTCTCTTTCCCCCAATATTTAGTTTTTTAGTTAAGAATGATGCCTGAAAAACAAAACAAAAAAACAAATTAAACAAATAATATTTTTAGTGAGTTACTAGTAGTTGTATATACACTTTTCACACATTTATAAATATGACTATTGAATAATACGATACGGAATTCAGTGTTACAATAATACAATATGAACATTGCAGTTTGTCTTTACAGAAATTTAGTGTCACAAGTGGCACATAATATCAGGAGTAGATAAAGAAGGAGAGCGTACAAGGGTAAAATGCTGAAACCATGCTGCAGTATTAGTCGAATTAATAAACTTTTCCCAGCTGCATTTCACTTGGCTTGTCACTCACAAACACACCTGCAGTTTGAAGGATGCACAAAAATACGCTACTTGAATTGTTACCACATTACAGATGGTATTTGGACATTCAAATTAACCTTAAAAACTCACACAGCAAAGGCACAGCAAGTACAATTCGTTAATAGAACACTGATGAGAATTTGTGGTTGTCTGAGCACTTGTGGTTACACACACAGGCATGAGCTAGTAGAATATAACTGTACATATTCCCAAACATTCTCGATAGTTTTACATACACTATTACTTACTGCTATTTAATAAAAAAAATGTTGCTAATTGGATTTTAATGTAATAAACAAGATTTTCACTTGCTGTTAACCACATAGTGCTTTATATTAAATAACAGAGACGACTAGCTAATTAATGACTGCCAACATGTCTGCTTATACATAACAATCGCACAGTATGCAGTTGTACATTAATAGTTGAAATGCCCATTTCAGCAGTCTAATAATAGCAGATTTTATTGTGCAGTAACAAAATAGTTTTAAACATGTCCAAGATATCATCCACCGAAAAAGGTATGAATATGAACTCGCATCACTTGTAAAGACAACCAGTGTTGCAAATGTCATTCTTTTGTCTGTCACCCTGCATTTAAATAGTAACAGTATTTTGCATATATTCAGATAAAACACTCACACAATCCAAAATTGGGAGTCATAACCAATATATAACCTCGCATTTTCTTGCTACTGTAAGATCATGAACATAGGTGCACATCTATGATCATGGTAATGTGCTGCGCTATCTTTCCTGTACATAGCATATATAGTACAAGCCTACATTTTGTAAAAAGAATTATAATAATATATTTGTCTTCTGGTGAGCATGATTTCTAACCAGATTCATATAATCTTACACTCTCTAATCAGAATGTCTGAGAGTTAACATGCAATGCATTATGAAAACTCTTAAAAGAAAAATCCTTGAATTCTGCGTAAGGTAGCTGCACATATTTCTATAGGGAATGCTTGTTACAGCCTTAGAAAATTACTGGCACGAATAAGGAAATGAGACTTACATTATTTGTTCAATCGCAAAACTGCATAAAGCATGTACTATATAATGGCCATTCTTTTAAACCATACTAGTAGGCTACAATTTTGTGCTGTTCAGTGACCTTTGTATGTGATAGTTATGCCCGCAAAAGCAACAATAGCACCAGCAGCAATAAGACAAGAGAGGACCTATATCCCTGTATTGATGACTGCTGGTGCTGCCACTTTTCATGTCACCCCATTTTATTGCGGTCGTTGTCGAAGCGATTTTATGCTGCATTTTTGTGTCGTGGTCTCAAATTAAGTGGAGGAAAACAATGACGGTAAATGCCAGACAGCCTATAGTCCGTACTCTACAGCAAAGGTACCAAATGGCCAGGTGCTGGCCGACAAAATCACAATTACAGCACGTGTTCACCCGCAGCAGCCTTTCTTCTGATGACTGGAGTCCTCCTCATCATCGACGATCACCACATTCTTACGCTGCGTCGATCTGGAAGCACCAGCTTTCTGCTGTGAACTCTCCGCCGCTGCTGTCTCCAGCATCTCTGCGGGAAGACACAACGACGGCATTTTGGAAAGCCATTTGTACTACGCTTTGGAATTTTCGTTCAAATATTAGCCCCCTAGCAAGCCAGTTAGTACCTACAGATCATGTCAAATATCCTCTATCCGCATTCCATGGTTTGTGTAGAATTGTGATGTGAGCACGGAATCAAAACCCACACCCCTAGAGCTTCAAGAGCCCTGTGAGAATGCGCACACTTAATATGGTAGTAATCAATGCAAAAACGTGAAAGGTGTTTGCCAATAAAACAATTATCAAAAATTAATAAACATGTACAATGCCACTTGCACTCACTTTTAGTAAGGTCGAGAAACATTTCTTCTACTCCTTTATTCAACTTGGCTGAAGTTTGGAAATGCCTTGCACTTACTGAATTCGCATAGCTGTAAAATAGAGATTATATTTATCATAAATAACACCTACCATTATAAAAATGGATGACAGAACATTGAACTGTGAGCATTTGTCCACGAAGTGGTGGCAATTACAAAAGTGTAAACTAAAGTATGATATTAGGATCTAAACGAAAGCTCAAGTGTTGGGTGTGTGTAGGAAAACTCTGTGTGATATGAAAATTGCTGAGGAAATAAATGGGATGTTTTATCATAACTATAACTCCACAGTTTGGTCATCTTTACCTTTCTGCTTCCTCTGCAGTAACATGGCGGTCTTTATCTAGATCAGTTTTGTTTCCAACAATACAGAGACAGACATCTTCTCCTAACATCTTTCGCAGTTCTTTCACCCAACTCTTAACCTGAAAATATGTGTGTTCAGTGTATCATTCTGCCATTCCAGTTACTCATAGACACTTCTCTAACAAGCAAAACACTGTTGTCATGGTTTCACATCAGGACTCGAATTAACCGACGGCACCGACGGCAATTGCCGTCGGTGCCCATGATATCACGATACCTACCTTTTGGAATGAGTCTGCATCTGTTATATCATACACTAAAATTGCACCATTGCTGTCTCTATAATATATTGGCCCAAGTGCATGAAATCTTTCCTGGCCTGCTGTATCCTGAAATAAATATACAATCATTATTTCAGTTCACAAGTCAATGTCATATTATCAGGAGTAAATTAATAGGCGGAGGGAGTGTGCATCATTCAATAAACACGGGAAATTCGTTCTATTGTAGCTAGCCTTGATAATACTCACGATTTACTACGCGTAACTCATCAACTTGAGCTCACAAATCGGACACAGTACATTCGCCTTCATCGCTAGCGAAATCGTCTTCCTCGTAGACATCGCCGCAATCGTAGATACAGCCTAAACGTACGACACGAGTTCTCCATCTCTGGCCATTAATCCAACGCCCATTGCGCGCCTATAATTCAGACAAAAAGGCAGCAACCTGGCTGTGTTTGCTCTCTCGGCATAGCTGAATGTCTGTTGTGGCTCGCAGGGAGATGTGGAGATCGACGCAACACTCTACGAGCTAAATCATTTGGTTGGCGTGCGTACGTGAGGCATGCCAGCTATGTACCAAAGCGTGGCCTGTGTAGCTGTGTACCGGGTCAAAGGTTATCTCGCCGAGTGTTGATGCCTAATTCTCCCAGCGAGCCACATGCCTCGCTCAGTTAGCAATAGCGCGGTTAGGTAGATGCCTTTTGTTTGAATTATAGGCGCGCAATGGGGTTTGGATTGATGGCCAGCGAGAATGGAGAATCGTGTCGTACGTTTTTAGGCTGTATCTACGGATTGCGGCGTGTCTACGAGGAAACGATTTCGTACGATGATGGGCGAATGTACTGTGTCCGATTGAGGCTCAAGTTGGATGAGTTACGTGTAGTAAATCGTAGGTATTATAAGGCTAGTAAATGACGAATTTCCTTGTTTATTGATGTCACACTCCTCCCTATTATTCATACTCCTGATATTATCCATATATAACTATATAGCAAACCTATAACATAAGTTCATTACAGGAAGACTTGAAATTTTTTCCAAGGACTTTCAAGGACTTTTCAAGGACATTTTATCGGAAATTCAAGGACATTTTATCAGACATTTTATCGGAATTCATACACAGAACAAAAACTACCGGATTAATTTAATAACCCCATTTCTTAATCACTGCATGTCACACTCTAAAACTTACCCTGGATCACATTAATAAACCCTTCTAAACACTGTCACTTCTACAACATGCCTTGATTTACTGACTGATTTTACTGACTTACTGTAATTTGTGATCATCATTTAACTGTCTAGCGTGTCGATAGCTTTTTTAAGCTCATTTAACTCAATTTTTATTGAGTTTGCACATTATTTGATGGTACAAAATTTCTTTTTATTACACTTGCAGGGCAAGGATTCTTTCTAAAATTCAAGGACATTTTCATGAAATTCAAGCACTTTTCAAGCACAAAATCAACATTTACTAAATTCAAGTACTTTTCAAGGACACCCCTCAAATTCAAGGACTTTTCAAGGGACTGTGCGAACCATGTATAAAAGAGAATGATGACAAAATTTAAAGAGCTTTTCTTACCCAAATTGCCAGATTTCACTCTCTTTCCCCAATATTTAGTTTTTTAGTAAGAATGATGCCTGAAAACAAAACAAAAAACAAATTAACAAATAATATTTTTAAGTGAGTTACTAGTAGTTGTATATACACTTTTCACACATTTATAAATTATGACTATTGAATAATACGATACGGAATTCAGTGTTACAATAATTACAATATGAACATTGCAGTTTGTCTTTACAGCAAATTTAGTGTCACAAGTGCACATAGTATCAAGAGCAGATAAAGAAGCGAGAGCGTACAAGGGTAAAATGCTGAACCATGCTGCAGTATTAGTCGAATTAATAAAACTTTTCCCGTTTTATTTTGACGATCCTTTGCAGTATTATGATTAAGCTGTCTTACCTGTTGTTATATAAAACAAACGCATGTCCCTACGATGCCCCTACGCTGAGATAATGAGCGGTGAAAATCTGGTATTTTTCGCCGAAACCCACTCGAGATCAGTGTGAACTGCGTCCCTCTCCGCGAATTGTTATAACTTTCGCGGAAACCTCGCGTGTCCCGAATGACGTCTGTTATTGATTGCCATAGTGATGACCCCCACCTGTGCCCACCTCACGTGGATGCTAATAGTAAACTCTGGTAGTATTACGTGAGTCAGTGCCACTATGGCGCTACACAGCGGCGACGGAAGCAACACACTGGAAACACTTCGCAGAGACGAGTCGCAGTTCACACTGATCTCGAGTCTGCGTTTCGGCGAAAATACCAGATTTCCACCGCTCATTATCTCAGCGTAGGGGCATCGTAGGGACATGCGCGTTTGTTTTATGATGACAAGGTAAGACAGCTAATCAATAATACTGCAAAGGATCGTCAAAATAAAACGGGAAAAGTTTATTAATTCGACTAATACTGCAGCCATGGTTTCAGCATTTGACCCTTGTACGCTCTCCTTCTTTATCTGCTCTTGATAATATATAACAAGTGCCGCAGAGCGACAGGGCTCATCTTGTGGCTGGTGTTCTGCTGATAAATTCATTTGTGCATAGCAAGACGTCTTATACATACGTTCATTTCTAACCCAAAAAAACAACACTTCAAACTAGTGTAATAAAATTCCGATAGATGGCGGGCCGCTATCAAAGGCATCGTTGCATCGCGTCAGCAACAAGCATTGCAGCAATGGCAGCTGTCAGTTGACGACGAATTGCAAAAAGCAGGAGCGAATAATTACCATACTATTACTATACATAACGTGGCCGTTCTATGGGTCAGGTAATAAGGTACATTAAACCCTTGCGAGGCACATCTGCGGTTCGTTAAAAATAGCTCAATGGTTGATACAACCAGAGGCAGAGCAGCTCGTGCAAAATTACAATTTACAGCAATACGATAGCAAATATCTCTAAACTAATTCAGATACAAGGTAGGCCAGTGATTAGTGGACCGAATAAGCTCAAGAACGAAATTGATGAAAAATAAGTCCGAAGCCTCATTCCTGGGTAATTATTTGAGTGCTAGTGACTGTATTCCAACTATTCATAATGTGCACTACAGAATCTTATATATAAGTCATGTCATTATCTCCTAAGTAAGCGTTGTTCAAGTAAGAGTTATGTGTGGAATTTCACTGTAAAATGGGAGCTTTCCACACCCACAGGTACTCGCCAACGCAGTTGAGAGAAACAAATCCATGTTTAACCCTCCTCTTGAGGGTCAAAAGGTTATCCGACACTTACTCTTCGCATGTCAGCGGAAAGTACATTTTATGGTCCTTTCAATAAAGCCATAAAAATGCTAGGTCACCGCTGAAAAACTTTTTTGTTTAAATCGCTCTGTCAGACCATGTCCTCAGAAAATGTGTAAAATCTGCCCTGTGCCCCATTGACCTTTGACCTGTGACCTCCAATTTCGGCACAGTGATGGCTTTTCCTACCATGATGCTATACACAGACTATCACAAGCCTAGGTCGAGCCGTTTAGATTTGTGCCGCAATTCTGCATTTCCTCCCTATACCTTAAGTTAAGAAGTGAATGTTCCCCCTTCTTTTACACCTCTTGACCTTTGACCTTTGACCCCCAGCTTCGACATCCCAACTCGTTTTGACGATCCCCCCCGATGTGCCAAATATCGTGACCGTACGTCGAGCGGTTAAGATTTGTGCCCAATTGTTGACGGACGGACGCACGCTCATGTGATTCTACAAGCTGCATCTGACTATGTCAGATGAGCTAAAAACATTAAAAGACCAATAATAGTAAGATCAAAAGCTGATTAACAAAAATATCTTAATAAACTGTTCCTTGCTTCATGGAATAATTCCAGGTGATATATATATAATTATAAAATAACGAAACCATTTCCTGGCTTGGTATTAAATAACCTGTAAAACAAGGGCCCAATCCTAGTTTAGCATGTAATATGCAAACTACGTACAGTGGTCCCAAACTAGAATGGCAATGGCTCGTGCTCCGGTACCCGGACTGGGAGTTCTTAGGGCTCGTGCTCCGGCAATCCCATAATGCATTGCAAAGTCATGGTATCGCTGAATGTCGTCATGTCAACTCATGATTTTTCAATCACAATTCAAATTTGATTTCGCTGTGCCTCTTGCAATGACCCGTTTTCCTCCAAAAACACAAGTGTAGTTCACAGTGTAATACTTCAAATTTTCGTTGCCATTTTCCACTTGTTTCGGTACTCTTTTCTTAGCAGCATTAATGGTCCGTGAATCTTTATGATAATACTAAACAAATTGTGCATTTTTATATTCCATCAAACACTTATTTAAGTCAAAATACGAGGAAAACTTTTGCCAAACAAAAAACATACAAGGTTCGTGTGCCGCCATTTTCTATTGCGCTGAGAATAGCTCTGCATGACTTTGCAGTGCATTCTGGGATTGCAGGAGCACAGATTCGTGGTCCGGTTACCGGAGTACGAACCACTTCGAACTAGGATTGGGACACTAGCACTGCCGCAACACTCCAACACTCTATCAGCTGTAGATTGATGTTTCCTGGTTTTCAATGTTTTAATATTTATATATATATATATACACGAGTATATGATGCTTATTTATGCTCGCGCCAACGCAAGTTGCAACGCTATCGTATGTTATGTCGTTTCGGGTTTTCCGCGTTCCAATCGAAACGCATGCGCAGTGGAAACATGGCGGTTGGCGGTTAAAGTGAAATTTAGGTTCGGCTCTTGAAATTTACACTGTGCACAGCGAACTGAGGTATTAGTTTTAATAACAACGCTGGAATACTATAAGATGAAGGTTATACTTGATACAAAACAAGGCAGAAATGCTTAGATGATTATTTTAGTTGAGATATACGTAATTGTTCGGCAGTTTTTGTAGAGGTACAAGATTATCCAATGATGTCAGGCTGTGTTACGTGTATAACAACACTCAGTGACAGTATATTGACGTTAGTCACACAGCCTGGTCGGGCTAACTGCAAGTATGCTCACAGTAGGTATATATAGGCATTTTGTTGTGAGGTCTATCTATTTTAATGAGTACATTAAAATTAGACTACCTGAAGTGTTGAGATGTGTTTATCATTAAATTTGTTTTCAACATAACGAAGAACCAATGATGTTTTTCCAACACAACCTTCGCCTAACAAAACTATCTTAAAATTAAATGTTCTTCCTGCTCCCGAACTTTCTGCTGTCATCTTGACTTATAAACTCCGTACGTTACTTGAATGCAAAGAGTGTTTCTGATGGTATGGTTAATTAATATAAAAAAGGAAACGTCCAAGACGATTTAGCTATAAATATTAGTTCCTGCTAAAACTTTTCCTCCATGACACATGCAGATGGCGCCCCCTTGCGCGATAGCCTTTTGTTCAACAGTGGGCGTCGTGTTGCGTAGCAACGTTTGCGTTCGAACGCGCGAAAATAGAGCGGGAACGTTCTGTTGCCGTTGGTATTGTTCTAGGTGTTGTAAATTGGGAACAGAAAAAGTACAGATTTTCAGAACTGCAAAAGACGAATAACCAGGAAACATGAGGGAAATTGTCCATCTTCAAGCTGGCCAGTGCGGCAATCAGATTGGTGCAAAGGTTTGTGTAATGCAATTGGATTATTTAGTTAGGAATAGTATTACTATTAGTATTAGTATTACTATTAGTATTAGCCTTGATCACTAAGTCTAAGGTCGTAAGCTAGTCCACGATATGGGTAGAAAATATGGAAAGTAAAACACGAGGATCCATCCCTATAACTTGATAAAGTTAAACGGTTGAGCCGAATGTTACAGTAATTAAAATGTTAAATTATATAGTCTGCTTTGTTTATAGATGTAGACATTTCGGCCCATGTTTTTCGTTTCAGTTTTGGGAGGTGATCTCTGATGAGCATGGCATTGACCCGACTGGAACGTATCATGGCGACTCTGATCTCCAGCTTGAGAGGATAAATGTTTATTACAACGAGGCCACCGGTTGGTTATACCTATGTTTTGAGTTAGCATGATTGTAAATTTTGAAGTCACTCCTGTTATTGCAGATTAGTAGTGGTTTATGTATTTTTAGTTGCTAGGAGCTGATTTTATTTATTTTATTAAAATTTGATTTATTTTCTTAAAATTTAATTTAATTTATTCTTTCAATTCCATTGAACATTATAACATTTAGTCTAAGGACTTGTTTACAGTTTGTCAAAGTGGTAAATAGATAGATTTCACATGTGACCCGCTCCAGCAAAACCAGGATTAAGTAGGAAATTCTACAAATTGAGTTATGTGCATATCTGAATAGATCATTTAATTACCTTTAAAATGATATATAATATTTGGCTATATCTAAAGAATTGACCAATCTACAGCAATTAGAAGATCGGAAACCGACTTATTCCGGAATATGCAGCTTTTGAGATAAAGCGTTCTGGGTAAGGGGCCCAGTCGGGGATGAGCGGTCAGGGACCTGTCAACATTTTTTTTTTTTTTTTTTTTTTTTTTTAATTAAAAATAACCATAATAATCTAGAGATATCTGAACCTATATATCCGGATTAAATATGCACTTAGGAACTTATTTTTGTAAAAACCTCATTTTTGTCCAGGTAGGCCATTTTCAGCATTGACATGTGTGCGCGCGCTCACTACTCAAAACATTGACTTGCGACTTAGTTCGTATTATGCTGGAGCGGGTCACATATAGTTTGTTTTCATCTCACAGTGAAATTGTTTTTGTTGGTATACCCACGTGGGGCATGGCACGTGACTTTAGAGGGAAATGGTTATTTCTGCTTGTGGGACAGGTATGCAAGTATTTGCCACAATAGTCTACAGGTAATGCATAGGGGTTCACCAAAACTGATCTGGCCAGATAGTTCCAGCTGGAACCATAATTTGAGAGAGTTGACTCGTCAAAAGAAATTTGCCATAATGGGAACTTTTTCCTAGACAATAAAGTAAAACTAGTGACACATAGAGGTTTAGCCACAGCATTCACGTGTTTATTCAGTCATAATTATATGAATTATTTATACAGACCATGTGATCGTGTTCTGTGCAGCAAAATCTATGCATTAACGCTAAGTTTTGAGAATGAAACCGCTTCCATTGACGTCTATTGTATTCTTCGTATAGTAGACTTCCACATGGTGTAAGCATGCAAGTGGATTTCATAGCATAATGAAATATTAGTAGATACCTCCTGAATTGCTTGAATGTGATTATTTGTGAATTTACAGGTGGAAAGTATGTTCCCCGTGCTGTGTTGGTTGATTTGGAGCCTGGAACTATGGATTCTGTACGCTCTGGCCCATTTGGACAAATTTTTAGACCTGACAACTTTGTCTTCGGTAGGTACTTGAATCACAAAGCACTTAATTTTTAAATATACAGTCATGAGAATTTTCCGCGGATTCGCGGATTTCCGGGTTTTGGTTTTCATTTTAGTCATTCTTGAGATTGATGCAAAAATACTAATAACAAGTTTAGGGGGGTAAGGTGTACTTTTTTGTCAAAATGGATGCCATTTTTAATTTCAACTTCATAAAAAGTCAGGAAAAGTACATCAAATTTTACACAGAAGTAACGGAACTCCAGATAAATATCGCGGTGTATCTATGTAATGTAAATTAAGTTAGTTAAATCTTTCCTGCGCCTATATGGCGCATAGGGCGGTGCCTATCTCCGTTTCAGTAACCCTGAGGCCCTGCAGCAGCTGCTTTCACAGTAAATACTACAGTAGGGGGTTAGTCCACTGGTACTATAATAATGTAAATTAAGGCATGCTTTAAAGGCATAATTCGACCATCGATTATGCAAAGTTGACGAATGCTACAGTAACTGGCACCTTGTGTAGTTAATAAGTACATTACCTTATAGCCAAACGCGTATTAGTTTGTCCAAATTAGGGGGGTAAGGTGTACTTTTTTGTCAAAATGGATGCCATTTTTAATTTAAACTTCATAAAAAGTCAGGAAAAGTACATCAAATTTTACACAAAAGTAACGGAACTCCAGATAAATATCGCGGTGTATCTATGTAATGTAAATTAAGTTAGTTAAATCTTTCCTGCGCCTATATGGTGCATAGGGCGGTGCCTATCTCCGTTTCAGTAACCCTGAGGCCCTGCAGCAGCTGCTTTCACAGTAAATACTACAGTAGGGGCCGGGTTAGTCCACTGGTACTATAATAATGTAAATTAAGGCATGCTTTAAGTTAACCGTGTCACATAAAACATTGAAATTTTCATAGAAAATGACAAGACTGAATTGTTAGTCACGAAATTAGTCTTTTACTAAGAACAGAATACACTTACAATTTTCCCCAGAATGCATGGAAATGGCCTAGATCTGCCCTTCCAAATTTCAAAAATTTCCTGGGGGGGGGCATTCCCCCACACCCCCCTAGCAGGACAATGTGCCACGCACACTGTTATCGTGCCTTCGGCACGAATTGCAATATTTCCTCCAAAAACATCTCAACCTGTTCTCATGCCTGAATATAGCAGCAATGACCGTTGGGGTATTTGACTGCATTATTTGATAGATCAGATATTATTGTATTTTTATACCAGTTGAATTTAATTAAATACCTTTTAAATAGTTTCTTGTCTTATAAATTCTTTTTGGCTTCAGGTCAGAGTGGGGCAGGGAACAACTGGGCGAAGGGTCACTACACAGAAGGAGCAGAGTTGGTTGACTCTGTTTTGGATGTGGTGAGGAAGGAAGCTGAGAGCTGCGATTGCCTGCAAGGATTCCAGCTGACACACTCATTGGGAGGAGGCACTGGTTCTGGCATGGGCACACTTCTCATTTCTAAAATCAGGGAGGAGTACCCAGACCGAATCATGAACACCTTTTCTGTTGTACCATCACCAAAGGTTTCGGACACTGTTGTTGAGCCATACAATGCCACCCTGTCTGTCCATCAGCTCGTTGAAAACACAGACGAGACATACTGCATTGACAATGAAGCCCTCTATGACATCTGCTTCCGCACACTCAAGCTGACCACACCCACCTATGGTGACCTGAACCATTTGGTATCAGCCACCATGTCTGGAGTCACCACCTGCTTGCGCTTCCCAGGTCAGCTGAATGCCGATCTGCGCAAACTTGCCGTCAACATGGTTCCATTCCCGCGTCTCCACTTCTTCATGCCTGGTTTTGCTCCTTTGACCAGCCGTGGCAGTCAGCAGTACAGAGCCCTGACTGTTCCTGAGCTCACCCAGCAGATGTTTGATGCCAAGAACATGATGGCCGCATGTGATCCTCGCCATGGCCGCTACCTGACGGTTGCCGCCATGTTCCGTGGCCGTATGTCGATGAAGGAGGTTGACGAGCAGATGCTGAACGTGCAGAACAAGAACAGCAGCTACTTTGTCGAGTGGATCCCAAACAACGTCAAGACCGCTGTCTGCGACATTCCACCCCGCGGTCTCAAGATGTCAGCGACCTTCATCGGCAACTCCACTGCCATCCAAGAGCTGTTCAAGCGCATCTCTGAGCAGTTCACCGCCATGTTCCGCCGCAAGGCTTTCCTCCATTGGTACACTGGTGAGGGCATGGATGAGATGGAGTTTACTGAGGCAGAGTCCAACATGAACGACCTCGTTTCTGAATATCAGCAGTACCAGGATGCGACTGCAGAGGAGGAGGGAGAGTATGATGAAGCTGAGGAAGAAGCTGAAGAGGCATAAATATACCAACTTGCAATTCCATTGTAAAACCTGCTATATGCTGCCTGCTATATTTTTTATTATTTCTAAGTCAGGTTTTTAAAAAAAATTGGAAATGACAATATAAAAATGCAAAAATAACAAGTATTATGAGGCCATTCTGGTTAAATCTTGTATCATTATTTTTAATATTGGCACCCAAATTTTTTAGTATGGCAGTGTGGAATTTTAATACAAAAATACAATATGGTAAACAATTGCTTTTATGTTATTAATTAGCTTATACTTATACATTTGATGCAAGGTTGAGTTAAATGAATATTAATTAACATAAATTTGTCTCACACGTGTGTACTCATGATAGAAATTACGTTTACTAATTTTAATCGAAAGATAAAACACTTGTAGTGAGATAATCGGGGGCGCGTTTCACCAACGTTCGTTCGCTATTTTAAAAGTTGATCGGTAAATAGCGAAGAACACGTCCGCGCGTGTTTCACAAAGCTCCGTTCGCTAAAGTTATTCATTATTTAGCGAACAACTTTGGTGACACCTCTGCAGGGTCTCGGTAAATTTAGCGAAGGACTTGCGGTTTATTTAAACCCTATAAAAACAATGTAGCGCAGTGTGCGCTGTATATTGTCGCAGCGATGTTGCGGAGGTTGTTTCAGATAAATGCACCTAACTTTACTACAAACGATAGTGCCTATATAGGCACACTATTCGCGCGAATACAAGCTCGTGCCCGTGCTGTACACACATACACAGGCAGACTTGCCAATCTCTCAATTCGTCTGCTAAAACGCGCGCCTGGTATCTACTTTAGGCTCCGTTTCGCCTGCCTGTCGAATAGAAAGAATATCGAAATGTTATATGTTTTACTCTAATCTTTCAATAGTTCATAATATATTGTAATGTGTGTTGTGAGTCTTTACACGCTATCGATGTCACAGATTTACATGCAAGTGTAGTTTGCAAACCGGTTGTCGAACGAGAGCCTGAGCATTGACAGATGTGACACACGCGTTAGCAGGTAGCAAGCTCCGAGAATATAGCACCCATGCGACACAGCAATTAGCACGCACCTACCTAAAACACTTAGCACTTATTTCGAGTAACTCTTATCGCCGACATCACAACTGCAAGCAGCGTATAGTATATGAGCACAACTGCACAACTGCACGCAGCGGAATGTAGCGTGACGCTCAAGGGGTCATTGTCGTATCAGGTATGTACCCGAGGTACATATATGTATACACAAAGTGTACCAGACTTGTACTACAGAAGTGTACCCTAACCCTAACACTAATCCTAACCCTAAACATACCTCATGTAAAAATATAAACATAATACTAAACAACCTAAAACTGCCTCGGGTACATATCTGTAGTACCTGATACGACAACGACCCCATCTGCTATAGTGACAACCATGGCAAACCTTTTATTGTATCAAGCTTATATAATCGAGATAATGAAAGACGACATTTACGAAGAGAAAGAGTTTTCAGAGACAGAACACAACCGTTTGATGCCTACAATGATGCTTGCTCCCTCTATATACCCTATATAACCCCCGCCTTGATATCTATTCCATATCTAACCCCCCCTTGATATCTAATTGATATCGATCCACCCCCTTGATATCTATTTCATATCTAACCCTTCTTGATATCTAATTGATATTGATCCACCCCCCCCCCCTTCAGGGGCGGATCCAGAGGGTTTGGGTGACCAGTTTCCATAGTTCTAGTCATAGCTAGGGGGTCCGAGGGCATGCACCCCGTGAATAAAAAAAAAATTAGGCTATATTTGGTGCACTCTGGTGAATTTTGAGGGTCAATTCTGAAGATACCCAGTCTGTGACCGGTTTCTAGAAACCGGTGCAAACCGGCCTAAATTCGCGCCTGCCTTTTATCTCTTTTATATCACGACATTAATGACATTAAAGATGGGAACGCTCCTAATATACTGGAACATCACCCGGCAGATGAACAAAAGAGGCCCACTTTCATTCCATTTGATCATGTGGTATTCCGTATTTATAAGTCCCAGGTTTGATTAATAAAGCTGCGTTTCCCTGTTAAATTTCACATGAACACGCAAGGTCTCCTCCAACCTCCAGTACGTGAGGACAAACGAATTCCGCTGACTCATTTAATACACGTAGTAATAAAAAAGACCACAGTCTCGTCTGGCTAGACATAGATACTAACCCAAGATACCCCCCCCCTTGGGTTAGTATCTATGGGCTAGAAAACGAGAAATCGTGTACGTGTAACATCGTTGCGCCATCTATCGGGAGCAATAATTTATACGCATATTGTATAATGTGTAACATTTGAGATGTGCGTATGCGTGCACGCGTTTCACTGAGCGTTACCGTATAACCTAATATCGCAAGTATCTCTCAACAATTAGCAACTGCCACAGTTAAAACGGCAAATGGCATAAACGGATTTAGACAAAATATTTCTGTGTACTACATGTAAATTCTCATTAATCTCTAAAGTGTAGTCAAGTAGGCCTACTTCAGCATGTACTCGAACACCAAATAAACCCAAGCAACGTCATATAGATAACTATGAAGAAGACCGTAGAATCAGAATTTAGTTTCTATATATTCTTATTTAGTTTTCTATAATATGTTTCGTATAACTGAATATAATACACACACGAACGAACAAAACAAATACGAACTAAGGCGTATATTTTGAGAGATTTTTGTTGCCTAGAATGCAATAAATTGGTGTAATGAAAAAATGTCCAGGTGGGAATTCCCCCTGACTAGCCCCACCAACAAAATGTCTCAAAAGTATAAATTTAAACTGATGTGACAACTTTATATTGTTTTATTTGCACAAAAGCACGTACACACATATACATATACATATACATATACATATACATATACATATACATATACATATACATATACGATATACCAAGAGTATATACATTCACTCATGATAATATACATATACATAATACACATACACATACACATACACATACACATACACATACACATACACATACACATACACATACACATACACATACACATACACATACACATACACATACATACACATAAACATACACATAAACATACACATACACATACACATAGACATACACATACACATAAATATACACATACACATATACATTTACATATACACATACATATACATATATACATACATATACATAATACCAGGGATTATAATAATGACAAATTATTAATTTGTCATTATTAACCCCTGATAATACATAGGTATATTATCAGGAGTGTATAATATAGACACTCCTTTATTATGCACAGAACTGTATTATGCACTCCTGATATTATGTTATACATATTATATAACTATGAGAACAGAATAATAATTAATACATTGTATATTATATAATATATTGGCATAATTGTTCTGAGAGATATTCTAGTTTATATTCTAGATTATATTCTAGATAACGATGGCGTCAGTCCGGTTGGATCACAATGGCGGTAAGTTTGTTTATAATTTTATTATTTTGCGGTTTAAATGTGCGCACTCAACAAAATACTCACTATGAGAAGTGTATAAACATAGGGGTTATACCCCATTGCATTGAATTTGTGTAATTCTGTATTGTTAAACCTTTGAGTTTTAGTGAAATCATTGTGTGAATTGACTGCACTGAAGACTGCAAGTTCCGTATAGAAACATGTGGGTATTGTCAGAGACATTATATATACTCTATTATAGTATATAGGGTCTTTGGTATTGTACATGTATGCTCCGGTAGCGTATGCGAGTACATGTCCCGCCTCAAAAAATCGTACATGCATGAAATTGAGACACTTCGCACCACACTGCATAAACATTGCTTGATATATATAAAGATAGCCCGACACAGCGCCGGCGGTGACAGTAAATAATTAAAATATATCTAGACTAGGGGTTGTAATAATTAACTCACCAAATCACGCGCGAGCTTAGCATACATTTAAAGTAAAAACCACGAGGTCACGAGTGCGTAGAGACGTTTTATTGCAAATGTGAAGGAGGAAGGAGAGGGGAAAGAGGAAAATGAGGAGGAGCAGGAGGAGAAGAAGAAAAATGGAGAAGTGGTGGAGGAAGAGGCGGAGAAGCAGGGGGAGGAAGAGGGGGCGAAAAATATAAGGACGACGAGGAGGAGGTAGAGAAGGTAGAATTGAGGAGATAATGAATAGGCGCAAAGGGTGCAGGGGGACGGGGTATAAGAAGTGGATAAGATAAGATGTAGAGAGGTAGACACAGAGTGTAAAGATTATTTATGTACTATAATGTATACTCTACATGTATATAATGTAGTCTATAATGTATTGAATTTTACCAATTTCTGCCTACACTCTATGTACTCTAGGTGATAGATATTTATAATTATTCGTTGAATTACAGTGTATTTAATTAAATAAAAAGATAAATATAAAACAGACAAATAATATCAAGTAACAGAATAATAACGATAGTAGAGTATAGCATAATTTCAATTTTAAGGATGTTAGAATAAGGAGTATAGATTATGAAATATATATATATATATATATATATATATATATACATATATTAAAGTATAAATATGAGTATAGAATATAGTAATATCGAATAATGAGCATTATATGATATCTATTGGTTGCAGCACCATTTAATCAGAAACGGATAGACAGTGAGCGAACTCGGGGCATTTTGATATGAAATATGTCGAACCTCTATCCCATAATACGGATCGCTATAGTGTCTGCTATTAGAAATTACATTTTTCTGAAATATTCATAAAAAATAGGACAGATTCAGGAGTATTTTTATATTACAATATATTAATCTGGAACAAATTTGTCATAATTTGTATGGAAAAATATAGGTAGGTACGCAAAATCGTAGATAAGATCAGAGTGCATGTGTGTGTGTGCGTGCGTGCGTGCGTGCGTGCGTGCGTGCGTGTGTGTGTGTGTATGCGTGAGTGTGTGCGTGCGCGTGTGCGCGCGTGTGTGCGTGTGTGTGTGCTTGCGTACGTACGTGCGTGTGCGCGCGCATGTGTGTGTAGGCGCATGCCTAGTAGCTGCTAATGGTTTTCGCGTTTTGTTGAATTTAAATTATGAAATAATATCATTCGCGCTTAGCGGGCAGGATCAACACCTCTCAGGCGACGCTTCTCTGGTATCCGGTCTTTCATCTGGTTAAAGAGTGTGTTGGTGAGTGTTGAAATTCTGGATGCCATTAGGCGCGTTCACACACAAGAAAAACCGCGCTGCTCAGCCCGCTAATATCGGAGATAATAGTGAGCTAATTGTGTCGTTGTTCACACAGGCGAATATCTCGCTAATCGCCGCGGTGCAAATATCACGCCGCGGTGCAAATAAGTGAGCTGATTCCAAATTAGCCCAGTCGGAAGTGGTCTTAGGAGCGGGCTATTTGGAGCGCGATTTAGTGAGCTAATTGCGTTCACACTTGTAAAAAGCTCAGTTTTTCGAGCGAGCTACAAAAACCGGGTTTTGCAGCCCACTAATTCGCGCCAGTGTGAACGCACCTATTATCTTGCATAAATATATGTAAGGTGCTCAATAATATCAACACTATAATTCACCGCAACATAAAGTGTACACTTTGCTATGTCGTTCGTGCAAAAGAAGTAGTGATTTTGTCAAACGAAGTACATACTTGTATCATTTTGTTAAAATGGTAACATGATTAATGTTAAATAAGCACATGGTCAGGAGTACTTTGATATAAGAGATGTTGATCTCAATGCCTAAATTTAATTATGATAAGGCTCAAAGTAATCATGACTTCCATGCATAGTGTGATAGATAATGAGAAGAAATCCGTGCTAGATGTCGCGCGTCAGCTTGTTTACAAATATCCACGGCTCGTCTCCTTTTTTATGGCTTGACATCGTATAGGGCGAGATTTGTTCGCGCGCATTCCTAGTATATTCCGTACGAAATATGATATTCTTAAAAATTAGACATTTCAATTTAAGTGTTTAAAGTCAATATCTGTTTGATCAGGAAGAATTAAGCGGCAGACGAAAATAGGGAAGGGAAGAGCAGGAATAAATAAAGAGGAAAATGGAGGAGAAGGAGGAATTATCAGTAGATAATGTAGAAAGAGAAGGAAGAATAAATTGGTAGAAGAGATACAGCAAGACAGAGGTTTAGGACAGACGATTATGTTCAATGCATAATTTTTTTCTATTATTTCTTACATTTATTTTACAAATACAATATTGGGCTTATTTTTCTGCGTGTACGCGCTTATATTTATGTCCTAAACAGTTTCGAAAGCAACGCCATTCACTAGATTATTTTTGTAAATATTTTATTCCAACAACATTCAATATATATAAATATAGATAACTTTGTTTTCATCTGCGAGAGGAAAACTCAAAAACAATCATAAAACCTTCTGCGTTACTGGTTTTTGCCGCTAGGCGCCACATGGTATATAATACTGCGCGTTGAAATATCAGCTGAAGCTGTGCTCTGTTTGTTTCTATGCGCGGTCCCTCTACATTTCTTCCCAGCAGCCTCGTGACATATTTCTATCAGCATCGTAACGTCGTCTAGTAGCCTGTCAAAGCCGTACGACAAAGGCGTAGCCTTTGTTTGTACTAAAATGTGTGCGATGAATTAAGTAATCCGTGCTAAAGTCCATTATAATACACTGTTCGGTGCCCACCCCAGTATAGATGTATTCTACACTAGTCGGCATTGATGGTGGCGAACTGCGACAGCGGTCGGGTTGCGAAGGTTGTAGTAATGGAGAGAATGGTAGATTGAGGGAAGACACGTTGTGTTATGCGGTGGTGAATCTACGATTATGTAAAGAAAAGACACGTTGCGCGATGATGCAGAGAGAATACAAGTGTTACAGAGAGAGGGTAAGAAAGCCCACATGTTACGGGTAATGACGCATCAACTTGGGGTGTAGGTCCTACACGATGATTGATCTAGAGCAATATAGCTGTTATACGATGATGTAGAGAGAGAACACGGGTGTTATATCATGATATAGTTAGAGAAAACGATAGATAGATAGATAGATAGATAGATAGATAGATAGATAGATAGATAGATAGATAGATAGATAGATAGATAGATAGATAGATAATAGATATATACGAGGATCGATAGAATCGATCGAGTAGACAGAAGCTATATAGATAGATACGAAATAGATCAATAATAAGCATAGACTAGATAGAGTGATAGATAAGCCAGATAAGAATAGATAGATATTATACGATAAGATAGATAGATAGATTGAACTAGATAGATAGATAGAGAATAGAGTAAATAGAATAGATAGATATATGTGATAAAATAAATAGATAGATAACTATAGATAGATAGATAGATAGTATAGATAATAAAGATAGATAATAGAATATGAGAGAGAGAGAGAGCAAGCCGAGCGAGCGAGAGAGAGAGAAGATAGAGAGAGAGAGAGACAGAGAAGAGAGAGAGAGAAGAGAAGATAGAGAGACGAGAGAGAAATAGAGACGAGAAGAGAGAGAGAGAGAGAGAGAAGAGGGGAGAGAGAAAGAGAGAGAGAAGGGGAGGAGAGAGAACACACACGTACTATACATATAATGACGTAGAAATGAGTCTAATAACATCGTCAATGCCGGACAAACGTGGGTCCGCATTTATCCCAAACTCCTATATAATCCGTAGAAACACATAACTAACCGCGTCTTTTTTTTCTTCTACTACTTCTTCTTGTTGAAACCAGCTCTTTCTTCCACGCGGTCAAAGAAGTGCACTCTGTCTCGTGGCCTGTAGTATTCCGGATTGAAATGGAAAACTCTTTCCATGATGAGGCCTGTCGATGCAATAAGTGTACAGTTACGTAAAAGCAAAGAAAGGAGCAGCAGATGTAAATTACTAATGTAATTACAATATACCGTATTTAACAAGAGGTATGTCTGACCCTTGACCTCCATGTCGCACCGTTACCCTATGCTCACCCTACCCCTACTATGTCTTCAACTCACCTATATCTCTCACACACTTCACCTACACCCCACCCATGTCATCCATCACTCCACCCACGGAGTCATGGTCGACCATCCCCTCCCTACAGCCACACCCCTCCATCATCCCTCCCACACCCCTCCATCATTCCCCATACACACCCGGTTCTACACCTCACCCACTCAATCATACTCTATCACACGCACACACGCACACGCGCACGCCCACACGCACACATCCATGCACGCACGCACACGCATACACCTACCCTACCCACACCCCGCCCAGAGCTCTCCATCATCCCCACCACGCACACCCGCCCACAGCGCACGTACTCATGGCAGCCTGGTCGTACTGGTGGCAGCAGTGGTCAGTCGTGCCCATGTTGTCGAGCATACAGCTGTCTCGTGACGCGCCCTCGGGTGCGATGCACTCCCAGTGCAGACCGCACATGAGCCACGGAGTGAAGAGATTCTGCTGCACCCAGCGGTTGTTGTGAATCAAGATGGCGCCACCTGTTTAATGTGAAGTCAGTCATAGCAAATTAGCATATAATATATAATTATTATAGGCGCGTTCACACGGACGTTTTTGGCCCGAGCCTAATTAGGCCCGTGCCAGATTTGGCTCGAGCCGAGCGTTCACACGGACGTTTTTGGCCCGAGCCTAATTAGGCCCGTGCCAGATTTGGCTCGAGCCGAGCGTTCACACGGATGTTTTTGGCCCGAGCCTAATTAGGCCCGTGCCAGATTTGGTCCCATCGAAAACGTCGGACCAGGCCCGAGCCAAATTTTAGCACTAGCTTTCGGCGAGGGGTAGAGCGGTAGAATCGGTTGAGCGGTAGATGCCGCGAGTGTCGAACGTGTACTTCGACGAAATAAAGTCCAAAACAGTATAAAAATTCGAAAAATTTGATCAGGATGCACGTTTTCAAGATTGATAATTAAACTCGGAACGTAAGTAACCACTCTAAATCGTAAACAACGCCATCTCGCGACATACTGCCAAAGTATCTGTGAGATATTTGTGCAATAAAATTTATTTGAATTTGAATTTGAATTTGAATTTGAATTTGACAGACAGTATTCACTTGCGTACGTGTGAACGCGCCGACTCAAACCGGCCCGAGCCAAATTTGGACGGAGCCAAATCTAGCCCATTTGGCTCGAGCCAAACCATGACCGTGTGAACGCGACTTATATATACACACGTGTTTGTATATATCCATGTATAATCATAGTCAGTTAGTGTTAGTTTACTGGCTCTTGCTGCGTACAAAACAAATTCAAGTGAACCGATATTCACTCCTGCTTTATACTACAGCTTCAAAACTGTCGTTTGCTTGTAACGCACACGCACACACACACACACACACACACACACACACACACACACACACACGCGCGCGCGCGCGCGCGCA